GCCCAGCACCGCCGCCGCCTGTACCACCGCTGCCGGCGCCGCCGCCGCCGTCTCCCCCACCGCCCGTTCCTCCGCCGCCATCGCCGCCGCCACCTCTACCGCCGCCGCCGCCACCGCCGCCGCCGCCCTCACCGCCGCCGCCCTCACCGCCGCCGCCGCCCCAACCGCCGCCCCCACCACCACCACCATCGCCGCCGCCGCCGCCGCCGCCGCCACCGCCGCCGCCTCCTTTGCCACCGCCTCCACCGCCACCTCCTTCGCCGCCGCCGCCGTCCCCACCGCCCCCGCCGTCCCCACCGATTGCAGCGCAGTCGGGCCCGCCGCCCCCGCCGCCCCCGCCGCCTTTACCGCCCTTGCCACCAGGGCAAGCAACGGTGACGACCTCCGAGTTTACCATGTCCGTGGGCTCACAACGCCGACAGCGAGCTCTGACAGAGCTGAGCGAGATCCGGAGTGCGGTGGTCTCTGGCCTCGCCGCTGCAGGTGTCTCTGTCGATAGCGCACAGATGACCCTGACCGAGACTACCACGCCGTCACCGGGCGTGTCGGTAAGCATAGCCGAGGCGCCCGCGGGGCCGACTGCGGAGGACATCACAGAGGCGGCAACGCGTCCGATCTTCCTCACCACCATGGGGAACGACCTAGGTGTTCCTGTTGGGTTTATCGTGGCGCCGACGGTCGCAGTGAAGATCGTCACCGCGCCATCGCCGCCGTGCGTTGGGTTCGCTGGGTTCAACGCGGGCTGGGGCTTTTGCCACACGTATCAGAAGGCGATGGCCAATCACGCCTACTGCAGTCTCGACTACATGACGGTGAATGCTACGCTCAAGCTCTACGCAGGCATGGTGTGCCATCAGTGCGATGCGTGCACAGCGCTGCCATCGCCGCCATCGCCGCCTCCCTCGCCTCCCAAGCCACCGCAGCCGCCGCCACCGCCGCCGCCGCCACCGTTGGTGGCGGGGGTGTCTGCGTGCGTGGGGGATAGCAGCTCCTACTGGGCTGGCTATGGCGGCTGTGAGACATACGCTGAAGACTGGACCGGCACATATCAGAACTTTCCGTGGTGCACTGGCAATGGCGCCGACACGGATTCTGCCGGCCTCACTCCAGCGCAGGTTTGCCCCGAGTGCGGCAGGTGCGTGGCTCAGAGTGCCCAACCCCCCTGCTATGGAAGCAGCCAAACCTTTGACATTGGCTATGGTGGCTGTGAGACGTACGACCAAAGCGCAGACAACCACGACTACTGCCTTCAGGATCTTTGCTCTGCAGCCATCATTCAGGAGGGGCTGGATTGTGGTGAGGCGAACTACGACCTGCGAGCTGTGCAAGTCTGCCCTGAGTGTGGCAAGTGCAAGGCCGAATCTGCGGCTCCACCTCCGCCGAAGCCGCCGCCACCGAAGCCGCCTCCGCCGCCGCCGCTGCCGCCGCCGCCGCCGCCGCCACCCTTACCGCCGCCGCCGCCGCCGCCGCTGCCGCCGCCGCCGCCGCCGCCGCCACCCTCGCCTCCACCGCCGAGCCCTCCCCCGCCACCGCCCCCTCTCATGCCCGCTCTGAGCAGCTCCGTGAGCGGTCAGGACATGACCATCGCGGTGAATCTCGGGGCGAACCACTCCAACTACCAGACACTAGCCATCCAGTTCAAGCAGCTCGGTGATGGACCGACGGGCCGGCGCACCGAGGAGGCTGTCGCCCCTCCGTTTGCATCAGTGACGGCACTCGCAACGGACGGCACTAGTGGGCAGCTCGCCCAGCCGTACCCCAGCAAGGAACGCACCTACTTTGGCATTACGTTGATCGGCGCAGAGATGCCCGCATTCGTCTCAGGTCCTGCGGCGGTCGTCTCTTTCCCCGCAGGAGTCGATCCCAGCAAGATTGAGATCGACTTCGACGCCGCACACACCTATCTCGAAGCTGAAAGAGGTTTTGCTCGCCTGAAGATGAAATGAGGCGGAGCGTGTGGTGTCCCGCGAGAGCCGGGAGATCGGTGTAGGTCCTTATACATTTGTACTTCCCGTCGTCTGTGAATAGCATCTTGCCTGCTTACTACATGACAACCCTCTGAGCCACACCCACACTACTGCCCAAATTCACCGCCTTGGTCAGCCCTACCCTCCGTACACGGCGAACCTACTCGCTTGAGTAATAGGTCGCAAGGGTGCGAGACAGAGGCGAAGCTGGCTGCTGAATTCGAAGGCACCCGGTACGCTGGGGGGCGTCTCGAGCGGGCGCGCTGCGGCGGGCTCGCTCGGAAAATCATCTAGGAGAGACGCGAGGCTTGGACTTGGAGACTGCGCCGAGGCGCGAGCGGAGGAGCTTGGCGCGAGGGAGTCGAGAGATGCCGCAGGACTGCCCGCCGCGGCCGTCGTCGGGAAGGTCAGAGTGGCGGGCCTGCCTTGCAGCGTCGAGAGTTCGACAATCCTCCTCTTCCTCTTCTCCAAAATCTCGCTTGCCCCGAACTGCTTTGCTCCTCTTTCCGCGGTCCGCTTCCGTGTGCTCGTAGCTGGATTCTGCTGCTTCAGTGTGTTGATACCTGTCATTGTCGCTGCGCCAGGCTGCGGTGCGCGCTTCAACGTATAGGAGGCTACGTCCATGTCTCTCTCCAGGCTGCGGGATCCGTCCAGGGCTGCCATTGGCCCAATCTCGCTTACGCTACAAAGTTGAAAGTTCTCCGACAAGGTCATTCACGGTGTCCGCGGCCCACTGTGCCAACTGGACAATGACCGCCGTAAACCCTGTGATCAGCTCCATGCGATATATTTTTGTAGGGACCGTAACACCAAAAAACTACTATGTCTTCGAGTGAAAAGACAAAAGTAATCCGAGCAAAGCCGCGGCCGCAGTGAATTAAAACATAAAAGGGGCGGTTTTTGAGGGGAATCTGGAGAATCTGGGAATCTGCTCACCACGGACCCCCACCTCATCGAAAAACTTTTCACTCCAAGACATACGAGTACTACTTTTTCAGTGTATGTAGCTCTTACGAACATACCCGTAGGTGAACTGCTGACAGGGTTTGCGATGAGGAGCGATCCGAACGTGGTATTCGGGTGATTAGATCACTACCGCCGAAGCGCAAGCGCTTGGAGCAAGGGAACTGCCACGTATGGGTCCCAGACTAGCACCCCACCTCGCGAGCCGACGTTCTGGCCCAGCGAGGCTGCTTGCTGCGGAGCACTCGGGGCCGATGTTCTGGCCCAGCGAGGCCGCTGCGGGGCACCCGGCGGCTCGGTTCGCTCATCAGCGCAAACTCGGTCGAGCAGAAAGTAAGGTGTGGTAAAGGCGGCGCGGCACGGTAAGGGTCGGCGGTTTTTAAAAGGTGCTCTACAAGAGCTAGGCACCCACAAAGAACCCTGCACAAAGATCGCAAGGGCGGGGACCTGTTCCTTTTTACCCATCTCACAGTAGAGGTGTCCGTTTTTATTTATTTATTTAGGCACAAAAGATATGGCATTGCAGGCCATTTAGAGCCCCTCTAGCGACGGTCACCGGCTGACCGCGCTAGTAGGGGCAAACACTGAAAACGTAACTTGATCGGGGCGCGGTTTTTTTTGGACTAGACTGCTCGGGGGAGGTGGGCGAGTGATTGGGTAGCTTTGGGGCCGCCGAAAATAATGAGAACCGCCCCCTATATCTCGCCAAATCTCGATTTTTCGCGGGAATGGGGGCTTCTCAGCCCCGCGCGAGCTACAGTGACTCCCCAGGGCTTGTCCCGTGGCCCAAAGTGGTACCCCGAGCTCCGCCACGAGCGTGGGCAATCAGGAGACACCCACAGTCACGGCGGGCGAGGAGTTGGGTGACGGCCAACTGTCGATTACGGCGCCTCTGGAGCCTCCTGTATCGTCGGTTCGGCTCGAAGATCGTGCCGCATCCGCATGTAAACCACCTCCGCGCCCCCGCTGGCACATGTCCGCATTGCCCGAGCCTGGGAGAAGTTCCCAGTGCCCGGAGGCTGCACAGGTCCGCGAAACGCTGGCGCTGCAGCTCCCGGCGCGCACCCCAGATTCGCGAGGAAAACAGCCGAAAACGGGTCGCGCCGCGATCGACCCTCAGCGAGCCCAGGCGAGCCTGGTAATCCCACCCGGTGGTAAGCGCACGTCCTCCGCGTAATCTAGCGCGCTGTGCAGCCCGCCAGTGCATGGCGCCGACCTGGGCCGACTGGTCGATCTCGCCGCGATCTCGCCATCCAATTCTCGGTCAGGTGTAGTGGATCACCTTAAAATCCTGGATTAATTCCTGAGCCCACCTGGCCCCACCAGACGGGTGGCACGAGGCGCCCGGGCCACTTTTTAGCGCCTCCCGAGCCTCCCGGCGCCTCCTGTGGCCTCCTGAACCCTCTCCCCCGCAGCCTCTCTCGGCGACGTGGGGAGCGGCTGCCGTCCACGGCTCGCACCGGCTCTTCCAGCGGCTCCACGCTTGCCGCCTGTGACGCCCGCGCCACGCACTGCCACGCGGCCGCTCGAGAGAGCGGTCGACGCCCATACTGCTGGGCGTGGCGCTCTATCGGTCGACGCTTCGGCGTCGCTGCTTGGTTGGGGACCCGTGCCTCGACGCGGCGGCGCGGCCAAGTACGGCTCGGTGGCACAGCGCGTCGCCACGGATGAGATGCGGCCACAAGCGGCTGGGGAAGCTCCAAGAATGTTTCGTTCTACTTGCAGGAGAGGTGCAAGCAATTCGGGTGACTGCATGGCTCTTCGCGTCGAGGGATGCGTCCAAGATAATGAGTAGCTTATTGAAAGCGCCGTGTCTTGCGGCATATTCCGGGTCATCGATCCACGTGATGTGACAAACTAGCCGCTATTAATGAATATGGGTGAATGTTATCTAGTTAAGGCAACCCGAGCGACAACTCACGCGCTTGGCGTGTGTGTGCCTGCTGCTCAAGGTCAAGCGGATATGAGCATATACACAACACACATACCACGGTCCGTCTGCATCCTCGGCCATCTACCGCCGTGCCACATCACCCTATGTGTTCGCTGTCCACCGCATGTGCCGCAGAGTCAACGTGCATTGCGCCGTGGGCGCGCCTCGCGCGCCTGTGGCGCCGCCTCATCAGCCGCCACGCCTGCTGCGGTTGCCCCGCGCTTCTTCGGCGCCCCGCGCTTCTTCGGCGCCCCGCGTGATGTGGGCGAGCGGCTCCGCCGCCCGAGCGGCGGCTTGACTGAGCAAGGACGGGACGAGGCCCTTGGCGAGAGCCAAGTTACGCCACTCCGGATCGTCGGTCGGAGGCTGTCATCGCTCGCGCAACTGCGCACAACACGCACACACGGCTCAGGCAGCAAGGCCGAGATAGAGCCGAGATATAGCCGAGATATAGCCGAGATATAGCCGAGGTGTAGCAGCCGCGGCGGCGGCTCGGGGGGCGGTGGGAGAGCAGGGCGGGCGCCTGCTTGTAGCGACTCGACTGCAGCAGCACGACGTTCATCCACTGGTCGACGAGCGTCGGGACGGCGACCCACGAGCCGTCCGCGCCGCGGCCATGTAGCAGCACGAGCAGCGCCCATGCGTGCACCTCCGCCTCGCTGGGCAACGCCTTGCCCGAGGCGCACAAGATCGAGTTCCTGCGGCGCGGGTGAGCGGCAAGAGCTCGCCAAGGCGGGGCGAGCGCGGCCACGGCGAGGGCGGGCACGCACCGCTTCGATTCGGGCGCCCCGCGCTGCAGCGCCGCGCGCCGCTCAAGCTCGGCCTGCACGTTCTGGAGGATCTGCTGCAGCTGCTCGGTCGTGACATCTGCGGCACACACGCGCAAACCTGAGACCCCCACGGGCCCGGCGGCGGCGCGGCGAGCGGGGCGCGCGCAGGGGCACACACGGGCGTCGCAAACGCGCGGGCGCAGCGCGCCTGGAGCACCAGGAAGGGTGCCACCGCCGGCGCCGTGCTCATCGTGATCACCTGCACGCACAGGCATCGCAGATCGTCAATGTCCCGCTGTGTCCCGAGCTTGGGGCTCGCGCTCCGGCGCCACGGGCTCGACGCGAGGACTCTGGAGAGAATGTCAGAGTGAGAGTGGATGAGGTTGGAGTGGAGGCGGCAATCGCCGTGCGGGCGCGCCCGGGGCTGCAGATCCTCCAAAGCAGCGAGACGGGAGCGCGCGCGCGACCGCGGGCCGGATTTTGCGGGGGAACTCGGGGGGAGGGCGCCCCGGACACGCCCTGCACGCGGCGCGGGCTGGCGCTCACCAGGAGCGGCAGCATTTGCGGTCTAGGCTGCGGTTTTTCTTTCGACGCCATCATTCTTTTCCCTTTCAGCGGCCTCACTTGTCGCATTTGCGAGGAAAGCAAGCGCGAGCGCTGCGGCGCCGGAGTCTTTCGGTCACCATTCTGGACCATCTTAATATTTTTCAATGATTTTTGCAGGGTCTGAAAGCTGAGACTCAGCTCTTCACGCTCGGTATGAAAGCAAGGTCCGCCCGGGGGGTCCCATTTTTCAGTATTTCCCCCTAGCGCTAGGCGCCAAAATCCCCACTGGGCCGGGAGAGGCGGGAGCAACCTTAACTTCCGCGCTCGAAGTTTTGGGGGGAGGGGGCGGGCGGGGGGGGGGGGGGGGGTCCCCACCCCCAAAATCCCGGAGCAAAACACTGACCTCTCGGAATGGATCTCTCACGCCCCGACTAACGAGGGCAAACAAACCATTCCCCAAGGCAAGCACGGTCGGACCACAGGAAGGTGATGGAAGATGAAGGAAGGTGAAGGGGCTACTCCTCCTCGAGGAGGCCTGTGTTGCTCTGTTCGAGCGTGTTCATCAGCTCGAGCGCGCACGAACGCGTCTCGGCGTCCGCGTCCTCGAGCAGCTCCGACAGGAACGGCACCGCCTCGGGCGAGTGCACGATGGCGGCGTCGGGCACGGACGCGTACAACCGCTGCAACCCCTTGACAGCGCCACGCCGCATCGCCTCGTCGTCGTCCTGACTCGCGACGCAGAGCTCGTAGTGCAGCACCTGTGCGGTATCCGGCGGCGGCGCGTGTGAACACGGGCCGAGCCGACGGGAGGCGGCGTCGGGCGGCGCGGGAACCTTGCAGCCGTCGACGCCGAGCGCGGCGGCGAGCGAGGCGACCGCGGCCAGGAGCGCGTACTCGATGGGCCCTGCCTTGGCCCAGCCGAGCCGCGCAATCAGCGCCTTCTCGAGCGCGCGTAGCTGCGGCGCCGGCGGCGTCGCAGCCTCGTTCGCGAAGCCAACCTCGAGGAACGCGGCGACGGCGAGCGTGAGCGCCACCTCGAGCTCCGCCTCGCCGGCGCTGGCGCCGGTGGACCCGGCCAGCCGGTCGAGCCGTCGTCGCTTCGCGGGGCCGCCGCCAGTGCTTTGCACCGCGGCCTGCTGCGGGCTCGAGCTGCCGAGGTGGACGCACGCGTGCGGCAGCGCCAGGCTAAAGTAAGGCGCAAACAGCGAGCGGAGCGCGATCTGCGTGCCCGACAGGACGCGGAAGAAGGAGAGGGCGCGCGCGAGCGAGAAGCGGGGCGCGCTCGCGGCTCCGGCGACACCCGCAGGGGCGACCCACGCGAGACTGCGCTCGAAAAAGGCGCCGAACGAGTCCTCATCGAGGCGCATCACAATCTCGGCGAGCGCGGCGCTGGTGGCCGCCTCGACGGCGGCGGGCGGCGCGAGGAGGAGCGCCTCGCTGAAGGGCTGCAGCGAGCGGAAGTGGAGGCCCGAGAGGAGGACGTCAAACACGGCGGCCGCGTGCGTGCGCGCCTCCGCTGGCGGGCGGAGTGTCACGTGCGTCTGGAGCAGCTGCAGCAGCTCTACCTGCGCCGCACTGCCGGCCTGCGACGCAACGCCGACGGCGTCCACCATCGCCGGCAGCAGCTGGCGGCTCGGGACCGCCCTGGCGAGAGCGCGGTTCAGCGCCTTGGCCTTGGCAGCCAACCCGACGGCCTGCGCGGCCGGCGAGTCGATGGAGGCGAGGCGGAGCACGGCGCGGAGGAGCCGCGGGAGGTAGGGGTGGAGGAACATGGGCAGCGCGGTGAGCAGCGCCGGGCCGCAGCCGTCGAGCCAGGCGGCGGCGGCGAGCAGCGCGTCCCTTTGCGGCTCGGAGAGGAAGAGGGAGTGCTCGAGGCAGCGCAGGAGCGGCGGCATGAAGAGGGGCATGTGTGGCACCAGCCGGACGCCGAGCGAGCTCACGAGGGCGGAGCACGCGAGCAGGGCCGAGCTGAGCACGAGCGGGTCCCTCTCCTCGATCAGCCGCACCACCGCGGGCACCGCCGGGTCGAACAGCTGCGGCATCGCGGCGCCGCACTCGCGCGCGAGCAAGTCGAGCGCCAGCAGCGCCGCTCGCTGCGACGACGGGCTCGCCGCCGCCGCCCCAGAGAGCGCGACGAGGCGGCGCGTCATCTGCGCGATGGGCTCCTCGGGCGCACTGGCGAGCAGCTTGCCCGGCCCCCGCTGTAGCCGCGCCTGCAGCAGCAGCACCGCGAGGTTCTGCACCGCCGGCTCTGCGTGCGCGAGCAGCGTCGTGATGGGCTGCAGGCAGCCGGCCGGCAGCAGCGCCTGGAGGGCGAGCATCGCCTCCTGGCACAGCCGGCGCGCCGTCGAGCTCGCGGCCGCCTCCGCGCCGCTCGGGCCGCCCGCCTCGGCGCCGTCGTGGCGCGCGCGCTCGAACGCGCCCGCGAGCGCGCCGAACAGCTCCAGCGCCGCCTCGAGGAAAGCGGGCTCGTCGCGGCTCCAGTCGGCACGCTGCGCCGCCCGCTCGAGTAGCTCGCGGACAAATTCGAGCGCGCAGAGCGTGATCGCGCGCCGCTCGCGCGCCGCGCCCTCGCCCGCCGCCGCGCCGCCCCACGCCGCGCCGCCGTCGCCGTTGAGCAGCGGCGCGCACGCGACGAGGCGCGACGAGGCGCGTAGCTGCGTGTGCGGCGGCGTCGCGCCGCACACGCTTGACGCGAGCCGGAGCAGGTCAGCCTCGCGGGCGGGGGGGGCGGCGGCCTGCGCGGCGCGCAGCGAGTGCGCGACGAGCAGGCTCGAGACGACGCAGTGCAGGTGCTCGTCGGAGGAGGCCTTGCCGACCAGCGCGCCGAGGAGCGCCGGCCACTGCGCGGGCGGCGCCTGCAGGACCAGCGTCACCCAGCCGCGAAGCAGCGGGCGGAGCTGGAGGCCGCGCCGCACGAACAGCGGGACGAGGACGCCGACAGCGCGCTCGACGGCGGCGAGCGCGGCGCCGTGGTGCTCGTGCTGGAGGGCGCGGCGCGAGACGGAGGCGAAGTGCGGCACGACCCGCTCGAGCGTTTCCTCGGGCAGCAGCGGCACGGCGGCCTTCACCACCTCGAGCGCGTGCTTCGCAACCTGCGGCCGCTCGGGGTCGACGAGCTGCGCAAAGAGGAGCCGCGCGTTGAAATGCTCGACCAACGCCGCCGCCACGGCCGCACCGCCAACCGCCGCGCCCGCCGACCCGGGCTGCGCCGCCCGCAGCATGGCGGTGACGGAGGTGAGGACAAGCTGCGTCGCGTACTCGGAGCGGCGGTCCAGCGCCGCGAGCAACCCAAAGAGCGGGCGGGCGAGCTGCTCCGCCGGCTCGGGCAGTGGCGTCCGACGCACGAGAACTTCGAGTGTGGCGGTGCAGCCGGCGATGGCGGCGGCGGCGCCCTCGTCAGCCCCCTCGCCCGCGCCGGCCGTGGCGGCGAGGGCGGCGTCGAGCCGGCGCACAAACATGGGCGCGGCGAGGGGCAGCGCGGCGAGGGTGGCTTGGAGCGCCGCCTCGGCGGAGGAGGTTGCGGCCGCGAGCGCGCGCATGATGTTGCGCCCCGCGTTGGCGCGCATCGCCGGGTGGCCTCGCGTGAGCAGCTCGACCGGCGGCGGCAGGAGGAGCAGCGCGTGGCGGCGGCTCTCGCACAGAGCCGTCAGCAGGTGCTCCCGGTCCGCCTCTGGCAGCGAGGTGAAGAGGCCGGCGGTCAGCTGGCGCAAAGCGGCCATCGGCACGGCGAGCGAGACGAGGGGCAGCTCCTTGCCCCACGGCAGGCCGACGGCGCGCAGAAGCACGGCCAGGCTGGCCACCTTTTCGCGGGCGGGCAGCGCCGCAAAGGCGCGCACGTCGTGGGCGCGAATCAGCTCCACCGCAAGCACAGTCGCCTCAGGCAGCACCGAAGCCACGTCGTCCGCTCCCGCAAGCTTGCCGCTGTCCCGGAGTCCAACGCCGGCGTTGCACCCCTCCGAGCGAAGCAGCTCGAGCACGCAACACACCAGCGGCCGCATCGGGGGGAGGATGTCTGCCGCCGCCGCCGCCGCCGCCGCCGCAGCTGCCGCCGCGCCGCCGCCGCGCTTCTTTGGCGTGCGACCCGCCGGCGCGGGCGGTGGCTCGTCGACGCCCGCCTGCCGCCGCTCCCGCTCCTCCCTCTGGCGCTCGAGCAGCTCCCGCACCAGGGCGAGCCCTGGCGCAGCGATGGCGTGGCGCACGCGCGCCGGCGCGGCCGCCGCCTCGGTGCCTGCCCCGGTGGGCGGCGGCAAGAGCATCGCGCCGTACTGCTGGCCGAGGTAGGCGAGCACCGCGCGCCACGTCGCCGCGGAGGCCGCAGACGCCGGAGCGGCCGCCCCGCCCGCCCCGCCGAGGGAGAGTGCGTCGTCGAGCTCCTCGCCGGCGAGGGGCGACAGCGGCGAGGCGCCGCCCTGCAGCCCCGCCGTCGGGGGCAAGCGCTCCTCGGGAGGGTTGCGGCGCTGAGCGGGGTTGCTGCACGCCTCGCGCATAGCGCGCAGCGTGGCCGAGGCGGCGGCGCGCAGCAGAGCGTCGCTGCCGTGCACGACGGAGAGCAGGAGCGGAAGCAGCCGCTGCGCGGTGGCGGCGGCTGCGCGCGCCGTGGCGGGCGGAGCCGTCTCCTTTGCGCGCGAGAGGAGGAGGGCGCGCGTCATCTGCAGCGCCTGCAGCCGCGTGGCGCGCCAGGAGCTGCCCCCGCAGCCAAGGCGCTCGGGCGAGGCCCAGCACGAGGCGAGGTGCAGCAGCAGCGCGTCGCCCCTCCAGTGCCGCGGCAGCAGAGAGCGGAGGGCAGCAGGCTCCTTGCTGCCGGCTCCGCACTCGAGGAGAACCACCAGCGCCTTGCGACAAACGGCGACGGCGTCGGCGGACGAGGCGACGGACGTCGGCGGGAGCTGCGACAGGACCGACCCCACCACCCTCTCGATCAGGCCGCGCAAGGCGGCGGCCTCCCCGTCCGTCGCCCGGAGCCGGCGCAGCAGGTGCAGGCACGCGTCGCAGGCCAGCCGCAGCTGCCGCTCGCACTTGCCGCTCGGCGACGCGCCGTTGGGCGCGCCCCCGCCCAGCCGAGCGAGTGCCGCCAGCAGCGCCGCCAGCAGCGGCTGCGGCTCGCTCGTCGGCTGCATCAGCAGCGCACACAGCGCCGCCACCTCGTCCGCAGCGCCCACCGCCCCGACGGCAGCCCCGGACAGGTCGGACAAGGCCGCCTTCAGCGTCGGCGGCGAGCCGGCCGCAGCGGCGAGCGCGATCTGGACGGGGACGAGGGCGAGCCGTGGCGCACGTGCCTCGGAGAGCGCCCGCAGCACGGCGCGCGTCAGCGCGTCCGCACCCGCGCTGCCCCTCGCTCGCTTGAGCTGCTGCAGCAGCGCGCGGTGGAGCTCCGGCGGAGGCAGCTCCGACGGCAGCCCGCGCAGCGCGACGGCGCCGGCGGCGACGGTGGGGCAATCGCCGAGCCGGCGCAGCAGCGCCTCCTTGGAGAGGGGCGCCCCCTCCGACTCGAGCCGCTGCAGCGACCGGAGCCGCTCGATGGCCGACAGCTCGTCACCGGGCAGCGAGCTCGCAGACGCCTCGCGCGCGCCTCCGCCGCAGAGGGTGTCCCACAGCCACTGGGCGACGCGGTGGGTGTCGGGCGACGCCTCGAGGCTCGCGAGCAGCGCCGCGACCGGCCGCGCCAGGTTGCGCACGGGGAGGGCGCGCAGCACGCCGGCGGCCGCCTTCGGGTGCGCGAGACTCGACTCTGCGAGCTGCAGCAGCAGCGGCGGGATCAGAGTCGACACGTCGTGCGAGCCGCTCAGAGCCGCGACCGCGTCGAGCAAGGCGCGGAGCGCGGTCGGCTTCGCGCCCACGGCGCCGCACTCGCCACTGCCCGCCCGCAGCTCGAGAAGCTGCGGCCACGCACCGCCGGCGGCGGGCGCGGCGGCGGACACGGCGGCGGGCGTGACGGCGGGCTGCAGCCGCTGCAGCACGATCAGGCACTGCAGGCAGCCGCGCGCCTCCTCCGCCTCGCGGGCCCGCCTCAGCCGCGCCCCGACGAGCGCCGCGAGCAGCTTGGCAGGGTCGGCCGCCAGCGAGCGGCGCGCGGCGAGCTGAGTGATCAGCATCATCCCGACCAGCCGCCGGTCGGGCGCCGTCTCCGAGGCGATGCCCTCGCGTGCGTGCTCGAGGAGGGAGCGGAGGAGCGGCGCCTCGGCGTCGGTGAAGCGCATGCGCGACGCAATCTCGAGCAGCGCCACCGCCGAAAAGGAGGCGGCGACGCGGTGCGCCGCGCCCAGGTAGGTGAGCTGGCCGAGCAGCTCTGTGTCCTTGGCGGCACGCCCCACGACCAGCTCCCGGGGCGGCGGGGCGGTGAGGCGGCCCGCGCCGTCGCGCAGCCAGGCGCCGCGCTGTTCGGATCCGCGCAGCAGCTGCGCCACGCGGACGAACGCGCGCGTCCCGTGGTACGGCAGGATGCAGCGCAGCAGCGAGGCGGAGTTGTGCCGGTGCACGCGAAAGTGGCGCAGCAGGTACTCGAGCGCCTTCTGCGCGGCTTGGGAGAGGAAGTGGGCAGAGAGGAGGTTCAGGAACCCCTCGACCCTCCGATCCAGCTTCCCGTTCTGCTCGGCCGTCTGCATCCGCCGGCTGTATTGCAGCGCCGACTCGGCGAAGAGCGTCTGCTCATACGGCGCAAAGCTGGCGTCGGCCGCGATGAGCTCGAGCAGGCCGTTGAGGCCGAGCGAGTGCACGAAGGTCTCGTCCTGCTCGGCCGCCACGCTCGACGCGAAGAGGATCGTTGGGACCCGCCTCGGCGTGGCCATCGCCGGCTCAACGGTGCTTGTGCGCGTGCTTGTCGTCGTCGCCGTGTGGCATGAGAATTCAGTAGTGTTCTCTTGCCTGCAACCCGATGGCATGAAGGTTGCAGCGAGAAGCGGCGAGAGACTGCGAGAAGAGATACGAAGAGGCAGACTCCCCAGGGTGGGCGACGGCTAGCGCATCACACTCCTCTCCTTAAAATCCCTGTGTGGTGGCGGCGTGCCGTTCTCCCATCCCTCCCTTGGCTTGTCTGTTTTCTTTCTTTCTTTTTTTTCAACCCGATCCCGAGCATCCGGCCCGCTCGCTTCTTAGCTCCCCGGCCCTGGATGTGCAGAGATTTTTAGCAATACCAAACGTTTGTCGTTTCGTGGATGTGAGAGGTTGCGGATGACTGTGCACACACCAGTCGACTCCAAGTGCTCCAAGTCGCAAGTGCTCCTCAAACGACTCGGCATGGCCACGGGACTGGCGCTCACTGGCACTAACACAGGATGAGAAGAAAAGGAACCTCATAAAGAGAACTCTTCGGTGCTCGGAGAGCCTGCGAGGCGCCGCCGAGGCGCCACCTCCATATGGCAGGCGCGGATCCGGTCCAAGAGCGGGTAGGCTGCAGCAGCGGCGTTGCCGCGCTGCACCAGCGGGCCCTGCAGCGTCCCGGTGTCCTTGTAGCCGCTCTTTTGGTAGTTGGCGACGACGCGCTCCCAGGTCTCCATGCCGGAGACGACGTGTCCGAGAGTCGCCTCGTGCGGCGTGCCACGGCCGAGCCGCACGCCATTCGGAGCGAGCGCCACAAACAGGTGAGAGGTGCGCGAGTCGGTGCCCGCGCCGGCAAACGAGAGGGTGCCGTGCCGGAACGGCATCCTGTTCGGCTCGTCCTTCAGCCGCCGCTTCTCTCCTCTCTGCCAGCGAGCGTGTACCGTTGGGTCGGCAGCCACGCCAAACTGCACGAGGAAGCCCGGGATCACCCGGTACAGAATCTGCCCGTCCAGAAAGCCAGTCCTGACCAGCTTCGAGACGCGTCTCACGCCCAGCGGAGCCAGCGACGCGTTGAGCAGGATCGTGAATGGCCTAAAGATCGTAGAGGAAGGCGTTCCCGCGATCCCTTCGAGTTTCTGCCCTGCCGTCGGCGAGGCGGCTGCCCTGCCGTCGTGTCGCACAAGACGCGCTGCTGGGCCGCGGCGGCGACGAGCAGGACGAGCATATGTGTAAGGGTTTTGTGCGATCGGGGCAGGCTGCTGCTGCCCGTGCTACATGCATGTATGGTCTATCACGGCCGCCTTACCGCCAAAGGCGCCGAATCCAACGTCAACGTATAGAGCGCTGAATAGCACAGCCACGCACGGCACAGTCCTCGTCCTCTGGCTGCGCCGGAAGCTCGTAGCCGCGCTCTTGCGCCCGCCAAGCGCCTTCCCCAACATGCCCACGTTGCGCCTCGCCAAGACGCTGTGGGGCGTGCCTGAGGCGGACGATCCAGACCTGTGGGACGAGCTCTTCGCCCGCATCAAGGCGGAGGGCTTTGACGGCGTCGAGGCCATCACGCTCACGTGGAGGACGGACCGCGACCGCTTCGTCTCTTTGCTAAAGAAGCACGGACTGCAGCTGATCTGCCAGATACACACCTCGGGCGGCGATCTCGATCCGGCGACGGGCTACGTCTACTGCAGCTCCAACAAGCTGCACGACCACCTCGCCTCGTTTGTCAAGCTGACGGCCGAAGCGAAGGCGCTCGGCGCGGTGCTTATCAACAGCCACTCTGGGCACGACTCGTGGGGCTCCGGCGACAAGGCGGTGGCCTTCTTCAAGCACGCGCTCTTGGTCGAGGCCCAGCTCGGAGTCCCGGTCGTGCACGAGACCCACCGGCAACGGCTGCTCTACTCGCCCTGTGAGCCACCGCCCACTCCCGAGCCGAGGCCACTCGGCCGCCCTGTGAGACTCGCGGCGGTGAGCTCCCCTCCCGAGCCGAGGTCGGCGGCCGCGCCTCTCACCGCCGCCGCCGCCCGCCGCAGACACCGCGGCCGAGCTCCTCTCGAAGCCCGAGCTCGCCGCGCTCAAGGTGAACGCCGACCTCTCGCACTGGTGCTGCGTGTGCGAGAAGGTCTTTGACGCCGCCGACCCGCGCGACGACTGGTGGCCCGCCACGCTGCGCCTCGTCGCCGAGCACTGCGAGTTTGTCCACGCGCGGGTCGGCCACGCGGAGGGACCGCAGGTGTCCGACCCCTCGGCGCCCGAGTTTGCGGCCGAGGTCAGCGCGCACGCCTCGTGGTGGCGGACGATCTGGGCGGCGCAGGTGCCCGCCCCGAGACACTCTCGGCCCGCCTGCTAGCGTGGTCCCCCTCGCCGCTCGCCGCTCGCCGCTCTCCCCTGGCCCCTCACCCCCCTCGCCCCTCCTCCAAAAGGCGGCCCGCCACCCTTCCGACGACGCCGCCGTGTGGGCGGAGCCAGAGCACGGCCCTCCGCCCTACCTGCAGACCCTGCCCTTCTCGCAGCAGCCAGTCGCGGACCTGTGGGAGGTGAACGCGCGCATGGCGCAGCGCGTGCGCACCGAGCACGCGGCGGCGATGCGCGAGGCCGCCGCATCCACCGCGGCGCCGCCCGCGCCGCCGCCATCCGGTCCCGACTTCATCGCGGGCGGCGACGCGGGGCGGTGGGGGATGAGCAGCTACATGGGGCCAAAGGATGGGTACGTCTTCAGGGAGCAAGGGCCGCGCGGCGCAGGCTACTACCGCGAGGGCACCGCCGCGGCACGGGCCGGTTCCGACGCGCCCGCCGGGCCCGAGCCCGCCAAGCCGGCACCGTCCGTCGGCCGCGACGGCTCGCTCCTCCGCGCAGCGATGGACGAGAACCCGGACGTTGCAGACAAGCTGGCGAGCATGATGGGAGGGGCCGTCCCGCCGGTGGCGCCGCCCGCGGGTGAGGACGAGGCGGCCGCTGCCGCCTCCGCCGAGAAGCTGCGTGCCGTCGACGAGGAGGGGGTGGCGGTGGGCGCAAGGCTGGCGGCGCAGCAGCGCGAGGGGGCCGTCGAGTTTGCGTGCGCGTCTGCGTCGGCTCCGGGAGGCGACCTCTCGCTGCTCGAGCGGTGCGTGGGCAAGATGAACCTGGGCAGCGCGAGCGGTGGCGGTGGCGCGGCCGAGGTGGCCAAGATGGTCTTCTCCGCCGGCGCTGAGCAGCTCTCTCTCGTCACGCACGTCCCGGAGAGCAAGAGGCGTGGCGTGGACGCCGCCGCCTGGACGCGTGCGGTGCTGGCTGCGATCGGAGGGAAGGTGATGTGCTCAGCGCCGCAGCCGGCACCGCTCGGCGGCGGCTCGATTGTGCTGGCCGCGGTGAGTGCGGATGGCGGCGAGCACGAGCCCGATGCCGACATGGCGCTCGGTTTGGCGGCCGCAGCGCGCTTTCTGGAGGAGGACACTCCTGCGTGATGCCACCGGGGTTGGCCTCGGCGCCCGCGCAGGTTCACACAGCCGCGCGGAGGAGTGTTTTTGCTAAGGTCCGACCTGCGATCATTACACATTAGACATTACGCCCTCTCATATACTCACATTTCTCATGAACGAGAACCGCGCGGCCTTGCGGGATTAAAAACACGGTACACACAAAATAAGCGAGCGTTTGCCGTGCGCGGTTTGGCTGTGGCCTGTTGCGGTGTGCGCCGGGCCTGCCCGCTCAAGAGGTGACATGGGCCCGAGAGGCCGAGAAGCGGGAGACGGGCGCTCCGTCTGGGACCGGGGCGGACGCGGGAAGACGGCATACGGCTTTACGCCACACCGACCCCTCCTCCGCGCCACGCACCCCCGCCCCGCCTTGGTGCACGGGACCGGGACGCCCCTCCTATGGCCCCTCCCACCACTGGGCGGGCCCCGCTGCGCCGCAGCAGGAGCAGCGCCGCCTGAGCTGCTCTTGACGCGCCCTGCGAGGCTGCGGATGCCGTCGAAAGACGTAGACAGCACTAGAGGTGACGGCGTGAGGAGGATCGGACGGCGCCGCCGGGGCCTGCCCCCGCGCCGCCCATCCGCTCCAGCCCGACTGGAGGTTGCAGCGACCCGAGGCTGAGGGGCTGCTGCCGAGGGCGCCCCACACCCTGCCTGCAACGCGCCAACCCGCCTCGTTGCTGTCACGGCGGGGCGCGGAGGCGAGCAGGGTGGCGGGTAGCCTCGTCGCCCCTTCAGAGCGAGGCGCCCTTGCAGGCAGCCCGCCGCCGCTCGCCACCGCCGCCCGTGTTGTGGGCGCAAGCCCCGCCCTCTTGACCTGCTTTCTGGCCGGCGGCGGCACCTCAAAGAGATCGCGGCGGCCCACACCCGACAGCAGCCTCCGTTGCACGGAGCGCAGTCACTCGGTGCTGGAGGCAATGGAGCAGTCCGCCGAGTACCCTACCAGGCCGGTGGCTCGTCTGGCGCAGCATGAGGCACTCGCCAGCTCGTGGCGAGTAGAGCTCCACCGTCCAATCTCGCGCATCACGTGGAGTCGCTCCGGGAAGCCCGACCGAACGCACGTCAAATGGCAGCAGGCCACAGAGGGTGCGCAGGTCACAGTCTCCCTTGTACTCGACGCACATGGTAGGGCGGCCAAACGCACCTCTGCCAGCCTCGCCAGCCTCGCCGGCCTGAAAGAAGTGTCGCCACGAGGCAAACTGCGGAGGGTCACCGTCCGGGAAGGGCCGTTCGCTCCTAATGGAGGAGGCGCGCCCGCTGCACTGGATCGACGCCGTGAGGACGCCAGAGGACGGATCATAAGCCACCGAGGAGCGGATGACATCTCCCCGCTTGATGTTGTCTACGACTTTCCCGCACAGCGCCCGGCTCTCGCCCGCCTCTCCTTCCCAGTAGTACTGCGCCTGCAGCGCCCATGCCTCCTCCTCCGACCAGTGCGCCGCTCCCCCAGCCTCGCTCGATGAGAGCACTCGGCCGGTCATCAGTTGCGGCACGATCTGGTTCATTCGACGCCCGTGCAGCGGACACCTCCCTTCAGGCCCATAGGCATTGAAGCTCAAGTCTCCCCAGATGTACACCGTGTGCGTCGACGCGTCAAACGGGCTGCCTGCCTCGGCCGGGTGCGGCGGGCAAATAAACTCGAAGGTCAGCTCCCAGCTCTGGCTCGAGGGCGGCAGCCGATGCTCCTCACTGCGTGGTGGCCGCAGGATGACACGCAGCTCGTCGTCCAGCCAAGAGGAGCTAGCCGTTGCCCATACACCACCGCAGAACCAGCACAGCTCCACCCTGTGCACGTGGCCTGCATCGGGGCAAGTTGTGACGCGAAAGAAGCTGCAGGCGCGCCCGCGCACCTCGGAGGCGTGAGCGGGCAGCTCGGTGCCGTGGTGGTGGGCAAAGGCCACGAACGCATGCCCTGTCCAGCTGTGCTCGCGGTGGCACCCAACAAGGCGATAGTGGTGATGCAACGCGCCGTCGTCCGCCACCCAACATAGGATGGTCTCGTGCGATGGCGAGCAGCCAGCCTGGCTCGCGACAAAGTCGATCACAACGGGATCCGGCGCCTCCACCTCGATTGACACGAGTGAGTCGCGAGAGAGATCGCCGAATGGGTAGAGTGCAGGTGGGTCGAATGAGCGTCGCTTTGCCCGCGTGATGTGGTGCTTGACGGTCATTCGGCCGTTCTCGGTTGTGGGAGACGGTGAGACGCTCTTGTGAACCCCTGTTTAACTAACTGGCTAACCTATTGCATCAGATCTCGCTCGCCGCTGCCGTAGCGACGGCCGCACTCCCGCACAGAACTCTGTCTGGTATAGCCCCAGCCGACTCCGCGTGAACTCTCGAGGGATCTCGAGTTGCGGAGCTGCTCGGTACGATGTTCACACCGAGTAGCTGGGAGTGCCTGCGGCTATAGCAGACAGCACAGAACTGCTCAAAGTCGGAAACGAACGCGCGGAGCGTGTTTTTCTTTTTTAACCGGTTCTTTGGCCGATGCGTGCCAAGATTCCGATCATAACTCGATGAAGATCTCCGGGAACCTGCATTTCTCTTTTCGGACACGCTGGCAGGCAAGAGCGAAAATAGCTGGCGCCGCGGCGCTGGGACAGTGTGTAGAACATCTCCCCCCCCCCCATCTTCGATGAACATCTTTCGATTCCTCGGCGACATGAGCCACATCCTGAGCTTCCTGCTGCTGCTCCACAAGATTGTTGGCGGCAAATCTGCCGCCGGAATCTCGCTGCGCACCGCAGAAATGTATGCAAGTGCGTCGCGCGCTGCTCGCTGTAGCTGCCCGCCAGCCCGTTGGACGGAGCCGCAATCCTACGGAGCCTGCGCGCTCTGATCCCGACTGCTGCTTCACGCGCGCGCGCTCTGTCTCTGTGACCATCTTCCCCGCGCGCCGCTGCGCAGTCGTCTTCTGCACGCGTTACATTGACCTGCTGTGGAACTTTGCGTCGCTGTACAACTACCTGCTGAAGCTCCTCTTTATCGGCGCCTCGCTCACCATTGTCTACTTCATGCGATACGGCCCGTCGCAGAAGGCCACCTACAATGCCGACGAGGATGCCTTCCCCGTGCAGTGCGCGGCAGCCGCCCAGCGCCCTCAGCTCTTGCCGCATTTCCTCCGTCGCCGTCGGCTCACGTGTCCTCGCCCCCTCCGGCGCAACGGCGGTGCTGCCTGCTGCCGCAGGTACCTGATCGCGCCGTGCGCCGTCCTCGGCGTCCTCATCAACCAGGACCACTCGTCTCCGTTTGAGATGGTCTGGGCCTTCTCCATCTACCTCGAGGCCGTCGCCATCCTGCCGCAGCTCTTCCTCCTGCAGAAGCAGGGCGAGGTAGAGAACCTGACCTCGCACTACGTCTTTGCGCTCGGCGCCTACCGCGCCCTCTACCTGCTCAACTGGATGTTTCGCTTCATGACGGAGCCAGACTACCAGCAGCGGATCGTCTGGCTGTCGGGGCTCGTGCAGACGGCGCTCTACTGCGACTTTTTCTACCACTACTACCAGTCAAAGAAGGGCGGCCTCAACAAGTCGGTCAAGCTGCCCGTGTAGCCGTGTCCAGGGCGGGGGCCGCGAGCCTTCTCGCGAGGGCGGGGACCCGGGTAGGCAGCCGCTCGTGTGCGGAGCAAGCGGGTGGCGGGGTGGGGCGGCGGGCGTGGCCGCCGCCCCGCCCGGCCTTGCTCCCGCCTCCCGGCCGCTTCCCGGAGTACCACACGCGTCGAACCACACATGCGTGCGAGTTGCTGTGAGTGAGAGAGAGCGAGAGAGCGAGAGAGCGAGAGATCGAGCGGAGGGGACGAGAGGACGGCGCGCGAGCGAGGAACCGCGACCACTTATTATTTCGACATTTTTTTTCTGAGGCACAACACACGTATGTGCACATACACGGGGTAGACGCTTGGTGCCTCCTTCAAGATGGACTCCAATGAAAGCTGTGCTGTGAGCCCTTCCGCCGCGACCTCCGTCGAGCTGGTCGACGCTAGCAACGTGCGAGCAGCATTAAACTTCCGCCCGAGCGCGGCTCAGCTCTCCTCGGCCATCGCCACGTGTGCCCATGGCGGTGGCACGAGCGGTCCTAGCATCATCATCGTTGCGCGTGACGGAGGCCACAACGGTCTACAGGCGGCGCGGAAGCTCTGTCCGTGCGGCCGCATCGTTGAGGTCTTTTCAGGGCGCCGCTGGGCCGCAGACGATGCGATAGTTCGAGACGTTGGTTGGTGGGCGGCGCGTGGAGCGAGCGGAGTCCGAGTCGTCACGAGCGACAAGCTCCTGCAACAGCGAGTCCGGCACGGTGCTCGCGGTGGAGGCAGCGGCAGGCCCGGCGGAGGTGGCGACGCCGAGCCAAAGGGGCCTGCCTGTGGGCTAGTTGTCGAGGCTAGTGAGGTCTTTGCCGGGCGGCTCAACATGGCGGGCGGCTCCAGCTGCGCCGTGGGCGAGGCGGAGAGCACCGCTGACGAGTACTTGGAGTACGTCCGGACGCAGCCACACCCGCCCAACACGGCTAAGACGTTCAAGCGGGCGCGTGCCGGCATCACGGGGCGACAAGTCGCGCGAAGCCGAAAGCGATAGCCGGGCGGCGCGAGTCCGCTGTCTCTGTACGTCTCTGCGGATGACTCTGCACACTGGCTCCGGTACTGTCCGCTAGCTCTCTGCCACACGGCATTTACACATTTTACGTACACCCTCCGCGCGCCCGCGCTCTGGCGGGTGGCGATCTCTGTGGCGCGTGGCGGTCTATCGTGTCGTGGGCTCGTGGGGCGGTGGGGGGGGGTTCGTCTCCGGGCCTCCCGCGCGCTGGGGCGCTTCGTCCTTTTGAGCACACGTTTTGGAGACGCGGCCCGGATCCTCCCGCTGTCCTCTGTACGGGCCCTGTGGGGGACTGGCCCGAGAGACAATTATCAATTAAATGTGATACGCCGCCTAGAAAGAAGTTTCTCCGAGACCTCGCGAGCGGGCAGGTATTCACACCCCGGCAGTGTGGTTTGGGCCGGGCAGGGCAGTGTGGGTTTCACACCCGGGGCAGGTAGGGGACCGGGCAGGGCAGTTGTGCGGCAAGTGTATGTGCGGACAGGGCAGCATACGGTGCAGGGCACAGGGCAGGGCAGGGCAGGGGCAGTTCGGTTGGGGTCATAATTGATTAATATAGGGCAGTTGGGGTCATAATTGATTAATATACACAACGATAAATAGAGCTCGGCGCACTGAATACACAGAACACTGTCTCCTCAGATACTGACGTAGAGAGTGTGGTGTGTGCGGTTCTCGTGTGGCGCGTTTGCGGAGAGACGAGCCATCCCGCCAAATACAGCTCTCACACGCGTACGCACTGCGAGCTTGCAATGGCACAAGGACAAAGGCGCGCGCCCTTCGCCCCCCGCGTCGCGCCCAGCGCGTTCTCCCGCCTCTACGGCTTTAGCGCTGAGCCGCGCCCCCTCGCCCTCTCCGCCTCCCCTCCTCTAGATCTCTAGATCGCGGGTCGCGAGTACCGTCTCCTAAGGGCTGGGCGCCCACGGGCGGCGAGTCCGCCCGAGGCACACACCCACACACCCGACGGGCCTCCTCACCCGATGACGAGGCCCGTGCGCGCATCCACCCGGTGGCTCTTGCCCGTCACCGAGTCTGTGATCTCGAGCACCTGTTCACGGCCGGAGGTGTGAAGAGGCGCCGCTCACTCTCCCGCCACCGAGAGGCGGCTGGTCTCGGCTGGTCTCGAGCGGACGTTGTTGTCAAAGCCGAGCTTGTGCAGCCTGTCGGGCGGCTTGGTCGCGCGGGGCGGCGCCACCACCTCCAGCTCGCTGCCTTCCGCGCTGCCGAGGCTGCTGCTGCGGCGGGCCGGCTTCTGCTCTCTGCGCAGCTCCTCCTGCCGCCCGCGAAGCGCCTCGACGACCTGGCCCGGCTCTCTGCGGCGCTGCTGCAGCCGCTCGCGGAGCGCCTCGATGACGCGCCTCGCCTGTGGCGCGGGGCAGGGCAGTGGGCGGGGGGGAGCATACGCAGCATCAGCGGTGGCAGGCCCTCCTCCCTCTGCCCTCTGCTGTCCCAATAGGCCCCGTAGCCTCTCCTCCCCCTCCTCCCTCCTAGAGACGCGGTACCCGCGCGCCTGGACCCTGGCTCGCAGCGCCTCCACCTCCTCCGCCTCCGCAGGCGTGGTGACCAGCTCTCGCGCGAGATCGACTAGCTCGCGCCCCGTCGCGAACCTGGCGCACCGAGATCAAAAGGGTCTGGGGACGGAGTTGTGGGAGAGGAGGACGCTTGGGTGCAGCATGGGTGCGCGCCTGAACCAGGCGAGCCGGCTCCGTCTCTCGCACGCGTCCGCCTCCTCGAAGGTCGCGAAGTGCGCGCCGGTGATGTCGCACCGCCAGCCGAGAGAAGAAGCCTCCTCTCCACGCTGCCCTCCTCCACGCTGCCCTCCTCCACGCTGCCCTGCCGCGCTCGCCGCGCCCTCGAGCGCACCCTGCGCCACGACACAGCTGATCTCGGCCGGCGGCGGCGCGTCGGGCGAGTCGGGGGACTGGAGAGACACCCTCGGGCAGGCACCGCTGGTGGCAGTCCCTTCCTCGCCGCCGGCCACCGCCGCCGCAGCCTCCTCCGCCGCCTCCGCCCCTTCCGGCCCTACCGGCTGCCGCTCGCCGGGGCTCTCGCTAGCGCCGGCAGCGGCACTCGCCAGCGGCCGCGGCTCTCGCCCGGGGTCGGTGGCGTCGACGATGGCGGTGGCGGTGGCGGTGGCGGTGGCGGTGGCGTCGACGGCTTGCCTGCCCGCCGGCAGCGGCACTGCCTCTGGCGCGGCCCACGGCGCGTTATGCCAAGCATCGATACCTGGCGGAAGGGGGCGGGGAGAAGAAGTAGAGGAGGGTGTGTGTGTTCAGCTTCTCACGGGCGGCGGAGGCGGAGAGGAGGCGGCACCGAGCAGCGCGAGCGTCTCCTCGGGCAGGTAGGTTGCGAATGTGGCCCTCCCCTCCCTCTTCTCCTTGACGAGGAGCACCATCTCGCGCACCTCCGACGAGAAGAAGAGCTTGGCCACCGCCCAGAGCCGCGACGCGAGAGGCGTGCCTGCTCACAGCTACAGCCGTAAGAGAGACCTACGCCGCCGGCCTCAGCCTGTGGGCGCGAGCGTGCCCGGGTAGATGAGCGCCTTGTGCGCGCGGCCCGGGTAGTGCGCGCCGATGGTGCGACCGAACCGCTTGGCGAGGTCCATGTCCAGCTTGGAGCCGCGGTCGAGGTACAGGATGATGACCGCAGTGCCTACGAGAGCGAGAGGGTGCTGTGGAGAGAGGCCAAAAGAGCGGCGGCTGCGCGTTGTTGCGCCGTCGTTGTCAGGGTCCCTCGCATCGGCTGCGGCGAAGCCAGCCTCGAGGGTGTGCACGACGCCGAGCATGACGGCGTCGGCGGACCACTTCTTGGGTGCGAAGCGCGAGCCGTGGTAAAGAAAGACGGCGCGGCCAGCGTGGTCAAAGCCGCGGTGGGTGAAGAGGCGCGCCGCAGCAGTGGCACCGTCGCTGCCCTCGGGGCCCGGAGCCCTCGGGAGCGTCTCTTCTCGCCATTTCAGGCTCGCGATCAGCGCCGCCTCCGACCTACCGGCCGGCACAGAAGTGGCCGTGTGCTAACACAGGCCGGCACAGAGCTCGGTGTGCGGTGTGCGGCCCTAGTAGGAGGGAGATGCTACTCGCGAGCGCGCCGCTTGAAGTCGTACCGCCAATCGGCGCTGAACTGCGCCAGGGTGCGCTCGGGCATGCCCGGGAAGGCTCCGCGCATGGCCTCGACGCAGCCCGTCACATCAGCCCGACCAAGCATCTCTCGAGCGAAATGCAAATCGCAGCGCGCTACCGAGGCGGCGGCCAAGGCGGAGGAGGAGAGCGCTGCCGATTTGCAAATCGATTTTCTAGCGGCTTTAGCGACAGGCTCCGGGGCTCATGTCGCCGAGGAATCGTGGGGGGTGTTACACGTGAGAGTTGTCTCTCTTCTATACACGTGTGTCTGAGAGAGAGAGTTGTTTATGTTGTGTCTGCAGTCGTGGTACGGTCTCATGTTATCGGTGCGGCAGTCTGGATGTTTGGTGGATTGGTGGTGGGTGTCGTCACGTCATGGCCGTCATGGATGCAGACTCATGGTGTGGCGTGGTGTGCGGCGGTGGCCGGTGCGCCGCGGGCTCTGGGGGGAGGCGAGGGCCCTAGGGGGTACCCATGCGTGGGGGAGCTGGGGTCCCCCAGCCCGCCGCAGGCGCCGATTTTTTGGATTTTTTTCTTTTTTGCGCGATTGTTTACTTGTTTCCTTCGGCGTAGCGGCCATGCTATCACGCCTTGCGACAGCCTGTCGGCGCTGCTGACCGTGCCATGCTGCACAATTGATCACCTGCATAGCTCGCGGCCTTAGTATCAAGCATTCAGTGACGACCTGATCGTACGGTCAGTATCTAGATAGGAAGGTGTCCTTCCAACGTGTGCACGCTTCTGGCGCAATGCGCGTCGCCTCGGATTGGCTGGTGGCACTCTCGAGGCTATGCCTACACAGCCTCGCGCGCATGGGCAGTCAAGAGGGACCACGCACCTTCTCAGGACAGCGCCGGTGCCTCTCTCTTGGACCGGCAAACTTGGTGGTCTCGTGTCACCAATGTGGGACCAAGTGCGGCATCGCGCCATCGACAGCTCTGAACTGCGCCTCACCACTGACCGAAATTTGCGGTGTGGAGTTGGGGGGTGGGTTAGGGCGGTTAGGGGTTCGGGTTAGGGTTAGGGTTAGGGTTAGGGTTAGGGTTGGGTTAGGGTTAAAATTAGTCTCGTTGTGTCTGTATATGCCAGCGTTGCAGGGTTCTGCGCTGAGGTCTGGCCCCAGCGCCGACGAGTAAGACTCAGCCCCACACGCTGACCTAGGGTTAGGGTTAGGGTTAGGGTTAGGGTTCGGGCTAGGGTTAGGGTTAGGGTTAGGGTTAGGGTTAGTCTTGTTGTGTCTATATGCCAGCGTTGCAGAGTTCTGCGCTGGGATCTGGCCCCAGCGATGACGAGTAAGACTCAGCCCCGCACGCCGACCGCACCCCACCAAATGCCGCCTCAGGGCGCCAGCCACCTCTTACATGCGGCCGGCGCCCTCTCGCGGCAAAAGGGTCGAGCGAGCGGGAGAGTCGCGATGTCTGCGCACCCGCGTGCCGATGGGTGGCACACGCAGCCGAGAGAGGCCCTGTCACGCCGCCAGTAGCGTTCCGCACTCCCCACGCCACCAAATGCCGCCTCAGGGCGCCAGCCACCTCTTACACGCGGCCGGCGCCCTCTCGCGGCAAAAGGGTCGAGCGAGCGGGCAGAGTCGCGATGTCTGCGCACCCGCGTGCCGATGGGTGGCACACGCAGCCGAGAGAGGCCCTGTCACGCCGCCAGTAGCGTTCCGCACTCCCCACGCCACCAAATGCCGCCTCACCCTCAGGGCGCCAGCCACCTCTTACACGCCCTCTCGCGGCAAAAGGGTCGAGCGAGCGGGAGAGTCGCGCAGGAGTCGCGATGTCTGCGCACCCGCGTGCCGATGGGCGGCACACGCGGCCGAGAGAGGCCCTGTCACGCCGCCAGTAGCGTTCCGCACTCCCCACGCCACCAAATGCCGCCTCAGGGCGCCAGCCACCTCTTACGAGCGCGGGTGCTGCGTATAGTCCGTTTCCGGTGGCCACTACCGGGCTCGGTCCCCTGCGGTCGACTCGGCGGACCGGGCGGCGCGCGAAGAGCACATTGCGCGGGCCAAGGCATTGTCGCGGGCCTGTCGCGCGCTCAACCTGGCCAAGAAGGAGGACAAGTAGGCACCAGATGGGCCTCTGAGACGGGTCTTCGAGCAGGAACGCAGGCCGTTCATGCTCGCCATCAAAGCAGCTGCGTCATCCGGCGGCCGCCTGCGCTAGAAATGATCGGCGCCAGAGCCGGGAGGTGCGCGCGGTCGGTCGCGGGGGAGCGCAATGCGATGGCCTGAGCGAGGACGCCTCTGTGCGCCCGCGCGTTAGAGCCGTGTCTGGGGAGGTGAACGCGTCCTGTTGAGTGGTGGGATGTCGTGTGTGGGTGTTCGCCGCCTATATGCTCTATCCTGCGGCAAGACGGACGCGTTTTGACAATCAAAATCTACCTCAAAATTTGCGGCCGCCCCTCGAAATTTGCTGATGCCTGATCAAAATTTGCGGTGGCCCGGACGAAACCTGTGGTTTGGCCAATTAAATACTAACCCAAAACGCAATCGTGACGGATCGCAACATACGGCTCTATGTACATGCAAACGACCGTGTGAGGGGTTGTGTAACCCCCGATCACGACACACGAGCTAGGGCACCAGAGTAGCTGATCGATCTACGCAGCGACTTAAATGAAGTTGTTTCGTGCGACTTGAGAGTTGAGTATTTTCGCGTGCGACAAATTATTTCAGCCTGCCGGCCTCTCCCCGTCAGACCAGCCGCGACGCCGACCCGTTCCAGAGCGACGGGGGCCACATCCGGCGCCGCATGTCGGGCGTCTCCGTGCTGCGCGCCGCGCTGCTCGCGGCCGACTCGAGCTCCCACTTTTCCCACTCGCTCGCGCTGGGCACCTGGCACGGGACGGCCGCCTCGATTGCGGCGGCGACGTCGGCGATGGAGGCGGCGAGCATGTTGCGCGAGGAGGAAGGGTTGAAGCTGATCGAGATGACCTCAGGGATCGTGCACGAGAGGAGGCGCGCGGCGTACCGCAGCTCCACGTTTGCGCGGCGCAGCACGCCGGCGGCGCCCGGGTTCGACGCGTCCAGCGTCTTGTCGAGCGACCTATGGAGTTTGGCGTGGGTCGTGCGAGAGGATGCGTGGCGGCGATGTCTCGACAGGGCCGGAGGTCTCACGAGAGGTAGTTGGCGGCGTTGGCAAAGTCGTACGCCTGCGGCTTGCCGGCGAGGTTGACGCCGACGATGGGCACCCTCGCCTCGATGGCAGTCACCATCTCGAGCAGGCAGTACGGCCGCGTGAGCACCGACTCGGACTGGACCAGCAGCAGCACCTCCGACTCGCGGACGGCCTAGGCCACAGCGGCGGCGCGCGTGGGCAGAGTGCCGCCGCGCCGCGGGGGATGGGCGGGCCTGGTGATCTTGCTCTCCGACAGCCCCCGGGTGAGGCTGAGGCGGGGGAGGGGGTGGGGTGCAGTCGAGGGGCGTGGGCGGGCCTGCTGCAGCAGCCGCAGGTCGCGCAAATCGTCGCTGTCGAGGAAGCACTTGCGGCCGAGAAGCACCTGTGCGTGCGGCCGGGCGTGAGGAGGCGATGTGCACCGCCCCTCCCTCCCTCCTTCTCTCCTCTCTCGCTCCGCCGCACCTCGAGCTCCGTCTGCAGGAAGCGAGCCTCCATCGCCGCCTCCACCTTGTAGTGCGAGATGAAGGCCGCCCACCGCTTAGGGCCGGGAGGCGGCGACGGCGCGGGCGGCGGCGCGCTCCGGTCGACTGAGTTGGGCCGCCCAAACAGCCGCGAGACTGTGAGACTGGAGGTGGGAAGCCCGCCCACCGAGCTTCCCGCGGAGCTGCCCGCCCGTCCCTCATTCTCCACCTCGCCGGCCGCGCCTTCCCGCGAGCCTTCCCGCGAGAGAGCCGCCGACAGCCTCGCGCCCGCCGCCGCGCCCGCGGCGGTGAGCCACTGCATCGCGGCGGTCGCCCGGTTGGGCTGGCCCCTGGGAGGCGAAGAGGCCCCGGGGGGGGGGGGGGTCGGAAGGCAGGCGGCGAGCGAGTCTGGCCGTGCCGTGCTGAGTGCTGTCTCGCTCGGCGTGAGAGGCGCGCGCCACCTCTGCAGCTCGAGCTCCGCCTCGTCCTTGTCCTCGTCCTTGTCCTCGCTGTCGCCGTCGAGCGGCGCGCCGCCCACCCCGTACTGCAGCGGGCCGAGGTAGCCCGAGACCTCTCCCCGCGCCCGCGGCGACTGCTGCGACGACGCGTGGCGGGGCTCGTGAGAATGGCGAGACAGCGCCGCGGAGAGCTCGCGCGGACGCGCCTTTGCGCAGCGCGGACCGGCGGCGAGACGGCCGAGCGCGGCGAGCGCGACGAGCAGGAGGAGGGCGGACGCGGCCAGCGCGACGGGCGGCGGCGCGCCCAGGCCGTGCGTGCCGGCATGCGGGGGCGAGGGCTCGACGCGCCGCGTGGTCGGCTTGCTGATCTCGACGACGGCGACCCCGAGGAGGCGCGACGCCGCATCGGCAGAGCCGAGGCTGCGGGCAAAGGCTGCGGCGACGGCTTTGTACGTCGAGCCGCTCGGCACGCGCACGTCGACGCGGAGGCGGACGCGCGCCGTCTGCGCCGCTGCGCCGGCAGGGTGCGCTCCGCCGCCCAGCCCCTCCTGCTCCTCGCCCTCCTCGCCGAGGCCCTCCTCGGCGTCGCTCAAGCGGCGCGCGGCGGCTTGCACGACCAGCGCCACGTGGTCGGATGCCACGCCGCACGCCTCGGCGATGGCCCGCCGCAGTGCCTGCTGCCTGTCGCCCTGAAGCTCCGAGGCGGAGGCGGCAACCGTCATCTCAAAGTGGAGATAAAGCAGCGGCGTCGGCGGCGGCGGCGGCGGCATTGCTGTTGCCGTTGGCGGCGGCCGGTGCCACGCGGCTGTCGGAGAGGGCGACAGAGGCTGCGGCTGCGAGAGCTGCTGCTGCTTCGGTGGCGGTGGCGGTGGCGGCGGTGGCAGTGGCGGAGGCAGCGGCGGCGGCGGCGGCGGCGGCGGCGGCGGCAACGGCGGCGGCGGCAATGGCGGCGGCGGCAACGGCGGCGGCGGCAACGGCGGCGGCGGCGGCATTGGCGGCGGTGGCGGAGGCGGTGGTGGCATGTTTGGAAACCCCTCTGGCACGTGCGGTGGCGGCGGAGGGGGCGGGCTTGATGGCGGCGGGGGGTTGGGCGGAGGCGGAGCAGGCGGCGGCGGCGCGGGCGGAGGCGGAGCAGGCGGCGGCGGCGCGGGCGGCGGCGGATTTGGCGGAGGCGGCGGAGGTGGGAGCGGCGGCGCTGGAGAGGGCGGGGGCGGCGGCATCGGTGGTGGCGGCATCGGCGGCGGCGGCGGCGGTGAGGGCGGCGGCGGTGGAGGCGGCATCGGCGGAGGCGGCGGAAGCGGAGTCGGCGAGGGCGAGGGCGGCGGTGGCAGTGGTGGTGGCGGCGGAGGCGGAGGCGGCGCCGGCAAAGGTGGCGGCGGATTGGGCGGCGGCGGCGGCGGCGGCAGGTAGCGCTTGCCGCAATCGCCGCAATCCTCGCCGTAGTCGCAGAGGGCCAGCGTCGCACCGCTCCCGCCGTCGTCGCACACGCCATTCTTCGCGTGGAAACAGTGGTCGCTGCAGAGAGGGTGGTCTTGTGAGATCGGCGGAGGCGGCGGCCGTACATGGAACCCCCAGGAGCGCGGCGGCGGCGACGGAGTCGCAAAAGGATCGGACCGCGACGGGGGCGGCGGCGACCGCACTGCCCCACCAAAACCAAAGCCCCACTCAGCGGCGGCAGCCGAGAGAGTTGCAATGCCAGCCGGCGGCGGAGGCGGCGAGGCGGCAAAGCCCCACGACTGCGGTGGAGGAGGAGAGAAGAGGAGCCACTGTCGGGCGGTGGCTTGCATAACCCGACGTCAAGCCGCGACGGTGAGTGGCGGGGTCTGAATCGCCCCTGACTAACCTGGGTGACTAGCAAGGCGGCGCGGGGTGCCAGAGGGCTCTCAGTCTCGCCAACCGAGGCCCTGTGAAGAGGCCCCCCTGGCTTGAAGCGCCTCTCCAGGCCTCGCTTTCGCTCTCGTGCGCGACGCTGGCCAGGCCATGTAGGTGCGCGCTGCCGCCCAATCGACGCGCTCCCCCGCCCAACACCCCTGCCCGCCGGGCAGCGCGCCATCCAGATGGCCGCCCCGACCCTCACTTCCGGCTGCGCGCCCACGCTCGGCCAGCAGGGCCGCCGAGCGCATCGCGGCTGTTATAGTTGGCCGGTCGTCGGAGACGCGAGGATCTGCCGGCACATCCCGCCACGGTACCTACCACGGCACCTCTGAACGCGCGGTGGCGGTGGCGAGACTGTCTCAAGAAATCCGTGGATGTCGCCACAAGAAATCCGTGCTGTTCGGCAATCAGCCGTCACCTCTCCCGTTCCCCTGTGTCCCTGATCGTCCTTACAAGATCCTGCTCGTGCAGGTGGGGACCCTGTCCTTCTCCCACCCCTCGTTTGGCGTGCCCGTTTTATTTTTATTTTTTATTTTTCACCTCTCCCAACCACCCCGTAGCCATACGGCCGCAGCCCTCCGCTCATGACCCTCGCCTCCCTCTGGCGCGCCTCGTCGTCGTCCTCGGAGAGCGGCTCGTCGCGCCCTCCCACAAAGTGGAAGCGCTCCATGGCGGCCTCGAGCCCGAACGCGCCGCACGCAGCGCGCGCCTCTGGCCGCGAGCGCACCGCGTCCAGCAGCTGCGCGTGCCACTCGTCGAGCTCGCGCATTTCGCCGTCGTGGCAGACGGCGATCAGGTTCTGCGTGCTCTCGCACTCGAGCGTGTAGACGCACCCGAAGCGCGCGGCGAGCCTCCGGAGCAGCCGCCGGCAGACGTAGTAGTCTGGGTCCTCCCTGTCGCCCGTGTGCAGGTTGACGAGCAGGAGGCCCCGCGGGCCGAGGATGGCCTTGGCGTCGTCCAGCGTCGAGCCCTCCTGCGTGCTCCGGCAGAGGCCGTTGGCGTCGAACGCGTCGAGGATGACGACGTCAAACGGCCGGCGCGTCGCCTCGCCGCCGCCGTCCGCCTCGGCGCGCTCGCGCTCGCGGCGCAGCACGGCCGCGCTGTCGCCCGGCTCCGCGGTGCAGCGTGACTCACCGAGGGCCAGGCCAAAGTACTTGGCCGCCGCCGTGATTACCTCCGGATCGATGTCGACCGAGTGCACGTGGCACGCAGCCTCCGCGGCGCAGAGCACGCGGGCGATGCTGCCGCCGCCGAGGCCGAGAAGCAGCACGCGCGGCGAGGCCGAGCACGGGCCGAGGCCCAGCCAGGCCAGGCTCAGCAGGCTCATCGCCTGCACCAGCTCGAGCGGCTGGGCCAGGGAGAGTGTCCCGTCGGCGAGCAACCGAACCTCTGACTGGCAGTGGCCGTTGAGCGCGAGCGTGCGGAGCCCGCCGTCGTCCTCGACGGTGAGGCGCGAGCCGGTGACCGTGGTCGTGACGGCGTGCAGCAGCTTCCTGGCGCGCGTGGTGGGCGGCCGGCGAGGCATTGCTGCGGCGGCGTTGACTAGGGTCTTGTCGCGCGTTTTCTTTTTTCCATCTCCGGTTTTGGGGGTTTGGGCGTTGTTAGCAGGGCTAGACGGTCGCTCACTCTGCCCCTGCGGCCGCTCACTGTTTCTTTTCGCGAGTCTAGAGGCGCCGAGTCTAGGACAGATCGAGCACTCCACAGGTCTGGAGCTGGCACACACAGCTTCCAACCCGGCCCCCCTCCCGCCCCCGCACGCCCCACCCGGCGACCCTCTCGCGCCGCCCCCGCCGCCTCCGCCCGCGCAACAACGCCCACGCCCCTGGCGGACCCTCGCGCTCTCTGCGTTTCGCGTTAATCACCCGGGCGCCGCCGCCACGCACCGCAGGACAGCCATGCAGATCTTCGTCAAGACGCTGACCGGCAAGACCATCACGCTCGAGGTCGAGCCGTCCGACTCGATCGACAACGTCAAGGCCAAGATCCAGGACAAGGAGGGCATCCCGCCCGACCAGCAGCGCCTGATCTTCGCGGGCAAGCAGCTCGAGGACGGCCGCACCCTCTCGGACTACAACATCCAGAAGGAGTCGACCCTGCACCTGGTCCTCCGCCTGCGCGGCGGCATGCAGATCTTCGTCAAGACGCTGACGGGTGCGCCTCGCGCCCGGGCGCCGCGCTCCCGCCGCCGCCCTTCCTTGCGCGCGATCGTGCAGCGCGCCGACGGCCGACGAACGCCCAATCCGCCCCTTGCGCTCAGGCAAGACCATCACGCTCGAGGTCGAGCCGTCCGACTCGATCGACAACGTCAAGGCCAAGATCCAGGACAAGGAGGGCATCCCGCCCGACCAGCAGCGCCTGATCTTCGCGGGCAAGCAGCTCGAGGACGGCCGCACCCTCTCGGACTACAACATCCAGAAGGAGTCGACCCTGCACCTGGTCCTCCGCCTGCGCGGCGGCGTGGCAATGCTTGACACCAAGGCTGAGTTTGACAAGGCGCTCGCAGACGCGGGCGACAAGCTCGTGGTTGTCGACTTCACCGCGTCGTGGTGCGGCCCGTGCCAGAGGATCGCGCCCGTCTTCGCCGCGCTGGCCGATGAGATGCCCGACGTCGTCTTCGTCAAGGTCGACGTCGACGAGAACGACGAGGTGGCTTCGGACTGCGGCATCTCGTCCATGCCGACCTTCCAGTTCTACAAGTCTGGCGCCAAGGTGCATGAGTTCTCCGGCGCGTCCGAGGAGAAGATCAGGGATGCGATCAAATCATTCAAGTGAGCTCGCACCATCGACTGCAGCCGCAGCGGCGAGGAGGCGTGGGAATGGGCCCATTGTCGGTTCGAGTCGCGTTCGGCGGGGAGCTGCGGTGTCGCCCCCTGTGCGCTCTGTGGCTGTGCGCAGTGCGGTGGGGGACCGCGTGTCTAGAGCTGACCTGTCTGCGTCTCTCACTCTCTGAAAAACACAAGATTGCGCGAGACGCAGCGACGGAGAGATGCAAGATGGAAAAACGCGAGCAACTCCGTGCACGCGTATTCTTTGTGGCCTCGGATTGGGGGCATGTTGTGCGAGTATATGGGACAAAAGCGTCGAAAATGTCCCAAAAAGCGTGTCTCGAGTTTGTTGCAGCCCCACAGCTGGCGCGCGCTGCCAGGAAGCACCGCTCGCGTGTCGGCCGCACTCCCTGGCACCCAGGGAGTGCGGCCGACCGACCAGACCGATTAGGCTCGACGCCGCGCTCGCTGTGGGGCTGCAACAAACTCGCCGCCGAGCGTGCCATCGAAGGCGTCCCGTCGGAGGTGATGGAGTGTGAGACCTGAGGCTGCGGAGGTGACGCCTGAGGTACCGGCCCGTGCACAGCGACTCAGCCGGCGACCGCCACGGGCTCAGACGAGACCTGTCGACGCGTTCCGGCTCAGCTTCACCATGGTCCTCGGGCGTCTGTCGACGTCAGGACCACCCATACAGCTTGCGGGTTTGAGGTCGCAAGAGCCAAGATGGTGGCGTTTGGACATCCCAACCATCACACAAGACAGCCTGTAGGTGATGGCGGGACGGCGCAGTGTTTGTGGCACTCGGCAGTAGGCACCCGCGGCACGGCCCCGCTGTCGGCTCTCGCGGGCTGCAGAACCGGCCCCAGAAGGGGACGTTCCGGGCGAGTGTGGCAGCTCCTTCGCTAGTATGGGCACCCTCTATCATAGCACTACTGATCCTGGTCATTAGAGCTGCCAGGGATAGCGTCAGGAGCCGGTAGGAGTCAAAACCCCTCATATTTGAGACATCGTGTCCCATATACTCGCACAACATGCCTGGGAGCGCCGCACACACTGCTCGGTACCCCCCCTGCACATCTAAAGTCATCCCTGCTGCTAGGGGGGGGGGGGGGGGTCTGACCCCCCCAGCAGCAGAACACTGCTGCTGGGGGGGGGGGACCGGCCCCCCCTCCCCAAAAATGGGGGGTTTTTGTAGATATGGGGGGGGGGTACCCACCAGGGGGGGGGGCGCTCCCTGGGCTGTGTTGTGATTTTATGGGAGGCGCGGGCCCCA